GCATACTTTAAAAAAAATCTTTCTTACACTAAGATTTTACTGCTAACAGGGAACTCTGTGCTAATAGATAACACAAAAGGCAGCTCCAAGCCACAGATTGAGACTCGAAAAAGCTCTCCTTCCATAACCTTGAACAAATCATTTACACTGTCTACCTTCGTTTCACAGGGTAGGGAAGGAAAATTCTATTATTTCTGACTTGAACTCAGCGACTCCTGATTTGAAAGATCATGAAAGTGTGCAGAAAGATTCCTCTAACAGCAGATGGCTTTTGCAGTGGAGTCTTGTTCTAAAGCCTCACATTATTTTAGTTACACATGACAGCCAGTCATAATGGTAACTTGGAATTTCAAGAAAATACAGAAGGACAGACATTTACCACCAGAGAAACTCTGATTAATACCTTCCTGCAGTAAAGCAAAGAAGATGTTAATGGCCTAATACCCCCAAATTGATCTTAATATTCTAAATCATTTTCCTATGAAAATGAGAAGTGGAAATGGGGAACTTAGGAATTAGTGATCAATAAAAACAATAAGGGCAACTGAGCAGTTCAAGTCTCAGACCTGGTAGCTTGGAAAACACTCTGCATGCATGTACATTTACACTCAAAATCCCACGAGAGTGGAAAAGGGATTGTGGCATGACCAACCCCCCTTGGGCTTGCTTTCTCACTTTTCCTCTTTCTCACTTCTCCTCTCTGAATCTCTCTGTCTCTCTTTTTTTTCTGGCAAGTGCATGTGACCTATGACAAAAATCTAAAGAAAAAAAAATGCCCAGGGAGGTAGCCGAGTCCTGTTGCAGTACACCTAGAAGGTGATGATGGACATCTTTTAGCTGGAAAATCCAAACTAACGCTCATTCCTGTATTGTATTTATTTAAAGTTGTTCTCAGACCATATTTTTTTAGACATATTCTATTATCACATACACATACTTAGGCCAAAATACTACCTATTATATTACAGATAGATAGATAGATAGATAGATAGATAGATAAAATAACATTTTCTATATCTTAACATCTACATGTCAAATGAAAACATTTTTAGGCTTTGTTTTTTTCTTTTTGTTATTTATTTATTTTAGTTTGCTATGGGACACGTGTTCACTGCAGTCAGAGAAGGGGGGGCAGTGAGAGGGATGGCTGTGCTGTGGTCCCTTCTCCATTCTCTTCTTGAGATTTTGGAGATGCATGCACACGTGCCTGGCATGCTTTCCAAGTCTCCCAGTCCAGGACTCAAACCACACTGTAGCCATGTGAGAATCAGCCGCCTTAACCACCATTCACAGTACACTTATAATGAAAGTACACAATAAATTACATCAGTTTCATGAAAAAAAAAAAAAGTGCGACCCTGACACTTGATAAAAGAGGACAAGAGGACAAATAGGAAGAGTTAATGCTAAGCAAACAAGCCACACTATGAGAGACAAACTTTGCATATCTCTTCAATTTATACCGATTTTCTGTGCTATATAGCAAAAACTGAAAGTTTGGAAAGTATAGAAGCAGGGAGGGCAATGGTATATACCAGAGAAAGTAAGGATGCAGGAGTATGGGGATCTGCTATAAGGGAGGGAAGGGAACAGGGAAGAAAAAAGTAAGTATGCTTAATTGTCACAAAAATAAAAAGCTATTTGCTGATGATAATGTATATAATGATATCTTTATCTTGATTGATATGCATGGTTTTCATGTTGGAAAAACAATGTTGCACACTGTAAAGATAAATGTCATTAAATGTAAAATAAAATTTAAAAAATAAAAAAAATCAAAAGAACAAAAAAAAATACAGGTGGGTAATAAAATAACTTTATAAGGCAAAAGTGAATTTATATATTAAGGCCATAAATGTTTTTAGAGGCCAGCCCCACAGTCCAGTAGTTAAAGAAGCTGCATCACACTTAGCTGGCTATGGTTCAATTCCCAGCCTCAGGAGCTTGAAAAACATGCTGGGCACATGTGCATGAGTGCCCCAAATCCCAACATTGTGGGGAAATGTGGAGAAATGGAGAGGATGAGATTGCAGCATGACCATGTCCCATTGTGAGAATACTTTGTCCCTCTCTCTCTCTCTGCCTGTCTCTGGCAAACATATATACCTCCTGAGTAATTAATAAAAGAAACTAGAATGAAAATATGAATACGTTTTTAGAAATCCCATAGTGGATAGTTTGGGGCATAAATTCAGAAGGTTTGATCACGTTATTGACTTAAAGTGTTTTAGGAAAGTCTGTTAAGCTATTTTACAGATACTAAGTTAGATTCTGACTATAATTTTTCTATAGATGTCATATTTCACTGTAACATATTTGAATTCTGAGAAATAACGATTGACTTAAAGCAAGAATAGTACTTATGCATGCACATAGACACACATAACCCACAAACCGTAGCATGTATATATTAAGTACAAACGAAAATATATCAAATTATTTTTATATCATAAGATTATAAAAGTTCAGTGATGGAAAAACTCTTTAAAAAAATACTCCTCTGGGACCCTAAAACAAAAACCTCTCCAAAAAATAAAAATAAAAAAGAGAAAGCTAGAAATATACCTAAAATTGTTCTGCTTGTTGGCAAAAATGTTAAGAAGCTAAAATCAGTTAAAAGACACGTACTGAAAGGATCCAGAAAGATCACCAATGTAATGGATTACATTGACCCATTACCCCTTTCTTCCAGGTGAATAACAGTAAATCCTGACTGAGAAAGACATTTGTCCACGATTTGGATTTGCACACCTGGCAAATGAAGCAAATACTACTACCACTTTATGGACCAGGAGCAAGATATGATTTTGACTTCGTTGTTGGTCACCCAATTAGAGATCTTCAAGTAAAATTCAACAGTGGAGTGTGAAACATCACAAAGGCTTTTTTTACACCTTCCCCTTCTACAAAAACGTGGACTAGTAAAATTTGGAATGGGCAATTGAAACTCTTGCTTACAAAAGTGGAGAGCCATAAAGACTGAAAAAAATAAACAGTTTTCACAACTGAATGAATGTGTGTTCAAACTTCATATCCATGGAACTAAAGGGAAATTACCGCTGAATATTTTGTTAAGGTATTATAGGTGGAAATGATGGTGGAAATGACACAGATACTCATAAAAACTTTTTCTCTGTTCCTAAAAATGTTTCTCTTTTATTTATTTGTTTTTGTCTGCTCCTGTCTTGGTAGGACTTTCATTGCATTTATCAGTTCTAAAAGCAAGATCATTTACTGAGCTTGATACTAATACATTTAAGTATTAATACTGCCCATATTCCTAAAAGAATTAAAATGTAAACCATTCCTTCTAGTTACCTTTTTAAGATGCGATGAAAGGTTTTTGCTTCTTTCTTACCTAGCACATGATGTCAGCCTCTATGCTTTTACTTATCTAACCCTACATCATAGAACTTAGAATGAGTGAAAGATGAGATGTTAATCAAATTTATTTTGCTACCAACTTCATGGGTTAGCCTTGTAGCTGAACCTTGTAGTTCTACCCCAAAGAGGAAAATCTGGGTTAAAAAAAAAAAGAAAAGTCAAAGGAAGGGAATGTCATTGCTGATATACTCAGAGCCTATGGGAAGCCTCTTGGCATATTGTAAAGTATATTTGGCAGTTACTACTACCTGAATGATAGTGCCTTGGGGAAATCAACATTTGGGGTCCAAAATACATAGTTAAACTCTAGTCGTGCTATGCAGTTAATGGATAATATGTATTGTGTATAAACCAACATTAACTAGGGCCAGCAGATGGCATAGTGGTTACTTCACTGGACTACCACATGGCTAACTGCAGTTTGAGCCCTGGACCTGGTGGCTTAAAAATCATATCAAACTCAAGTGCATCCATGCCCAAGATCCTGAGAGGAAAATGAAGACGAAGGAATTGTGGAATGGTCATCCCCCCTGGGGGTGTGATTTCTCACTTTCCTCTCACTATGTCTGTCTGTCTGTCTGTCTCTCTCTCTCTCTCTCTCACTCGAGAGAGTGTATATACCCTAAGGCAAAAGCCTTTAAAAAACCAACAGCAGCAAATAACTGATACATTCTAAGAGTGCTGCTTGGTTCAATTTGCCTGAGACATATGACTGAAGTTTTTAGAATTCTCCTTTTTAGTCTAAAATGTCTCCCTCCTGCAAGACCACATCCTATCCTATACTAAATCTTTGCATCAGCACATACTCCAGAGTCTCATTTGTTCTTGATCATTTCTTCTCCTGCCTGATCTTCTTTTTATATAGACATGGGAGGAGGCAAGGATGGTGTGATTTGCATCAATGTGGCAACTTTCAAGAGGTGCTATCTGGTGCTAGTAATCATTAGCTTAGAGTAAAAGGTGTTCAAAGCAGAAATTTTACATCTTCAATGTGGAGTTTTAATTTCAGCACACTATTATGCTGGTACTATGGTAAGTGCTTTCTCCAACTTATTCAAACTCGAAATGACACTGGGAATTGGATTTTATTTTATTTTATTTTATTTATTTCCTAGAAGAAGTAAAGTAACTATGTCTTATAAAGAAAGAATAATTTATCCAATATTATTTAGATAATTTGTGGAACTGCTGAATATTTTTCACTTGTCTATTTCAGAATATTTATGATTGTTTTTCACACATTCCATCAGAAACATTTATTTTAGATATCATAAGGAATGAGATTTTAGTGGAATTCATTATGTTAGTGATATTTGGATGAAGCCATGTAGGTATTTATGATTGTTTTTCACACATTCCATCAGAAACATTTATTTTAGATATCATAAGGAATGAGATTTTAATGGAATTCATTGTTAGTGATATTTGGATGAAACCATGTAGGAAGCTGAGTTTGTAACAAAACATTGTTCTTAGTAATTCTTGCTGAGCTAGGATGAAGGCAAAAAATAAAAATATCTCTCTAACCATGATTTTTCTAAAAATTTCTTTCACTAATTTACCTATGAGTCCATCTTTGTCTGTTACACAAAGATCTACATTTCTTGGTATTCTTATTAATTAAGTTTTCTATTCATCAGGTATTTTACAGCAGCTTTTACGTCCTTATTCCTCAAACTATAGATGATAGGATTCAGCATGGGAGTGACTACCCCATAAAACAGAGAAATGAGCTTGTCTGAAGTTTGCATCTTGTCTTCTGTTAGGTCTTGAGACTTGGGTTTCGCATACATAAAGAAGATGGTACCATAAAATATGATCACCACAGTCAGATGAGCTGAGCAAGTAGAAAAAGCCTTGTGTCTCCCTGCGGCTGAGTTCATTCTCAAGATGGTATAGAGAATGGACACATAAGAGAAAAAAATAACCAGTAGTGGAAGAACCAGGAAGACCATATTTGATATCACCATGGTAATAATATTGAGGGATATGTCAGCACAAGCTAACTTCAGGACAGCTAATATTTCACATGTGAAATGATTTATAATATTATTCCCACAGAAAGGCAATTGCATGGCTAGAGATGTTTGCACAATTGAGTTGATTCCACCGGAGAGCCAGGATGCAGAAGCCATCAGTACATACACCATCTTGCTCATGATGATGGAGTATCTCAAAGGGTTACAGATGGCCACATAGCGGTCAAAAGCCATCATGCCAAGAAGCAAACATTCTGTTGAACCCATTGCAAATCCAAAGAACATCTGTATCGCACATCCAGAGAAGGAAATATTTCTTTTCTTTGAGATTAAGCTCACCAGTGTTGAGGGAACAGAGGAAGATGTATAGCAGATGTCCAGGAAGGAGAGGTTACCCAGGAAGAAGTACATGGGAGTGTGAAGACGAGAATCAAAGATGCTTGCTATTATCAGAACACCATTTCCCATAAGAATCACTGAGTACATAACTAGAATCAGAGCAAAGTAAATGACTTCGATCTTTGGGTATCCTGAAAGACCCAGGAGAATAAATTCTGTCATAAATGTCTGGTTAATCTTACTCATGTCATCTACTTTAAGTATGTAAAAGGAAGATCTAACAAAATATATCCACTACCGGGATCCAAGTGGTACTAATTATCCAATCATTTTTTAGGATGTATTAGAAGTCCTTGCTTGAAGCTCTGATGCCAAGTATCTTCATAATATGTGTGACTAGAATACAATAAAATTGAGAATGATGGGAGTACCTGCAACCCATTATCAACATGTGAAGATCTGTCTATGACCAGATACACATAAAGCAACCTTTCCTGTTGTTGAAGATATATTCCCAAGTTAAAGTGTCTAAAACACTTGGCTAATTATCAATCATAAGCATGACTTTTTCATTTCATCTGCCCAGAAAATAAGCAGTATAAAGGGCAAAAGATTGCTCAATAAGAACTGCAATTTTGATTTGACAATAAAGTGGTCAAAATTTCACAACATTGATTCTTTGGGTACATTTCTATGCCTGACATTGCATACCTTATATTAGTTTCATCCTGTATTTTACAGACATTTAATCATAATAAATCAAACTATAAAGGGCAAAAGATTGCTCAGTAAGAACTGCAATTTTGATTTGACAATTAATAAAATGGTCAAAATTTCACAACATTGATTCTTTGGGTACATTTCTATGCCTGACATTTCATACCTTACAGTTCATTCTGTATTTTACAGACATCTAATCATAATAAAATCAAACAGCATGAACCAAAATTTAACATCTGTCTAAAGACATAGTTAGTTGTTCTCTGACCTAGAAAAAGTCACCAAAAAGAC